AGTCTTATTTAGTGTTGTTTGTCCACTTTTAAGCTCCATTATGTCAAAGCTTCAGCCAAAAAGAAGCATTTGCGCGAGAGCAGGCAGCGTTCAGGCTGTGTGTGTTCCTCCCTGCCCCTGCTATATTTCAGGTGGGGACACACACAGTTTGTGTGTTGTCTGCTTGGGAGCGAAGCACGCAGAGTCAGCTCTCGAGGGAACTGACTGCCCGCATTGTGAGCGTTTGTTACTGCGTCTGCATCGCTTTCAGAAGGTTCTGTTTGAGGATGGAGCCTTCACCTGTGTTCCTCGCGGTGCCGGCCCCGCTTTCGCCGAGGCTGCACTCGTGGAGTTCGCATATGGATCTGATGGAGGGAATGGAGACGGGCGAGTTCCTATCTTCTTCCTCACCACCAGATCCAGCACCCACTCTCTGGGATCGGAAGCCCACGCTGCAGTTCTTCCCCCCGGGGAGAGGGATCGACGTGCCACCTGTCTTCCTCCGAGGAGGTTGATATGTAGGGCGTCGATGAGCTCGCCAGTTGCACAAGCACCAGTTGCACAAGCACATTATGTCTAATATTATAATGAGCAGCATTATTGGGGAGCAGAGCTCTCGAGGGGGCTGCTTGTGCTTTCCCGCTGCAAAATGCTCCGCTCTCGCGGGCACGCTCAGAGGAGTGTGTCCATGCCTGTGATCTTGCGGTTCCGGTCCCGCTGCTGCTGAGGCAAGTCAAGTCACCTTTATTTATATAGCGCTTTTAACAATACAGATTGTGTCAAAGCAATTTTCGCCAGGCTCATGTGGACCTGTTTGCGATTCAGACGACATCGTACTGTCCCCTCTGGTTCTCTCTGACTCATCCAGCTCCTTTCAGACTGGACGCTATGGTGCAGACTTGGCCGAGGCTTCATCTGTACGCTTTTCCCCCAATCCCTCCCGGGAGTTCTGGAGAGAGTACGCCGGGACGGGGTCCGTCTACTGCTAGTAGCCCCGTTCTGGCTGGGCCGAGTATGGTTCTCGGACCTGGTGTCTCTCCTCGACGGCTCTCAATGGGAGATTCCCATCAGGAGGGATCTCCTCTCACAGGCGGAGGGCATGATATTCCACCCCTGCCCGGAGCTGTGGAAGTTATGGGTGTGGCACAACTCGTAGCTTCCGGTCTCTCAAATGAGGTTGTTGAGATCATCCTCCAATCCAGAGCTCCCTCAATGAGGAAACTGTATGCCCTAAAGTGGAAGCTTTTTACTTCCTGGTGCAGAGATCGCCAGCTTGACCCAGTTAACTTCCCAGCAGTGTTCATTTTGACAGCAAATTTTGATTTAGTTATAGTCATAGTCTTTTGACTAAAATGCCGTTTAGTTTTAGTCATATTTTAGTCATCTGAATTGTTTTAAGTTTTAGTCTAGTTTTAGTTGACTAAATATCATATGATTCCACTAAATCTACAGTAAATTTAGTCGGCTAAAATATAATGGGTTTAGTTATAGTATAATGCATTTATTAAGCATTTCTCTAAAATTTCCAAACTCATTATATAGGTTTGATATTAAGGTTTATATTGGCTAATTATGCATTTGTTTATAGCAACTTTACCATTTTCCTCATTCTTGGATGATTCAGTCAAGAGCAGTGAGTGATTTTCTGTCTTTCTGTTGTTGCTTGATTAACATCAATGACTCGGACAATAGCAACTAAATTAGGCTGCTGTCCCTTTAAAACTGAATGCACAGCTGCAATGGATACATGTTCTCCCTACTTTTTACGTTCACTTAAGACAAAATCAACTGTGTTTATGCGAATACTCGTCAAAACGGACAATTTGACATCATTTTGTGTGTAATTCTCCATTCATGCGACGCGAGAGAGTAGGCCTACTTGTGTTTTGTGAGACGCGCTTTCTCTGTGTGTGTACGCTTCGGTGCCTGCGCTCAGAAAACCGGACCGAACTGAGTCCTCTCTTGCGTCATCAGATTTATCTATATGTCTGCTCTTCTCTTACTCCCACATATTGAGATTTTGAACGTTTTATGAGACATGCAGCAAGTGTATTTTAGCTTATGTCCCACCGGTTCATATGTACGCATCTAACCTCCTAACTACACAGCAAATTCGTTTTGAATGAATCTCTTCCCAAATCGTCCCTCCCTAACATTTTGTAACTTTGTCAGGTGCCTACTAGGAATGCTCCGATCCGCCTTTTTCGCCTCCGATACCGATTCCGATACCCAGGGTTCGGTATTGGCTGATACCGATCCGATACCAGTGAAGTTTTTTTCCCTCATTTAAATAAATGTAGAATTTATATATCTCTCTGTGTGGAACTGATAATCATTCTTTCACCAGCCAAACAGAGCTCGCATTGCCTTGGCTCTTAGTGAATTGACGCTACTGAGTGCAGGCCTTCATATGATGAAATACTCAGCGTCAATTCTAAGCTATTTGGCTGGTTAGACTGGTTTACGAATTTACATGGTCTTTGCAAACAGCAAAGTCCAACATAAGACTATTTAGTACCAAATTACCAATAAATTCCAGTGCGCATTTTGCAGCCTTTTTTAAAAACATGTCACACTATACAGTATATTAGAATATTTTAGGATAAATATCAAATAAATTTGAATTATATGAAAACAGATTATGCTACATGAAAAGTGTGGAAATCTTTTTTTTATTTAATGACATAACTCACACAAAAATGCAAATAATATATTTAAAATAATACTAAATTATATAATAATAAAAGAACAATAAGGTGTTTGAACAAATAGGGAAATTCTGAAATGTTTAACATGCACGTAGCTTAATGTACTACGACATTAAAATATCAAACACCTTATTGATGAATTTGCTTGTCTGTATATAGTATGCTTCATCAGTAATGTGTATTCTGAATTTCTAAAGTTTGAATAATCAATAATGTGTATTCTGAATCCTGTGATATCCGTGTCTAAGTGTTTTTCACATTTAGCAGTTTGTCCCAAATAAATATTTTTGTTTTCTATCTTGCAAAGTATCTCTTTACGGTAAGAGAAACCTCTGCAAACGATTGATTCAGTGAACTGTCCAAATGAATCAAACTGAATCGCAAACTATTTCAGACCTTTCTGCAATAGTGATTCAATTTGCGATTCATTTGTTTTGATTCTAAACAGCCGACAGAAAACATAAATGACACGATTGCCTTTAAATATTATCAGTAAAAATGACTTTCATATCAGTATATGGTTAAGCGTTCAATAACATTAATAATAATAATAATATCACAGCTGTAAAAAAGACTCTAACCACTCAAACAAACAGATCAATATTCTGAAAAACTAAAATATTGATCAGACAGGTATTGTAAATTATATAACATTTTATAAATCTCTTTAATGTTTTATTTATGTTGATCCTTTATTACCTTCCATGCTGTTCTAAGTATGCATAGTTGCAGAAGTCTTTATTTCAAGTCATACACTGCAATTATACACACTTATGTTGAATTATGTTTACTTTTCTCTTGAGGTTGTTTGAAAATCCCTCCTGTTAATCCTGAAGAGAAATGTAGAAACGCTACATATGAAAATGATACATGCAGCGGTAAGGCTTGAGATTATAAGATTTATAAAAAAAAGTTCACACCCAGCAAAGTTTGATTTCAGAATCAAAATAAATATAGAACAACGTTAACTGACTTATTTCTAGCATAGCTGTAGGCCTAATATTTGGGTTTCTTGAGTCTTTTAAACAGAATGCACTTGCTTGAGAAATTCTTTAATTCGTTTAGTGCTTGGAGTAGCATGATAAAATCATGCCAATAATATAACTGGACTATGTTAATAATAAATATGTGAACTGATGAACATTTATAAATGTTTCTTGGTTTATAAATAACCATCATATACTAAACAGCCGACAGAAAACATACATGACACGATTGCCTTTAAATATTATCAGTAAAAATGACTTTCATATCAGTATATGGTTAAGAGTTCAATAATATTAATAATAATATCACAGCTGTAAAAAAGACTCTAACCACTCAAACAAACAGATCAATATTCTGAAAAACTAAAATATTGATCAGACAGGTATTGTAAATTATATAACATTTTATAAATCTCTTTAATGTTTTATTTATGTTGATCCTTTATTACCTTCCATGCTGTTCTAAGTATGCATAGTTGCAGAAGTCTTTATTTCAAGTCATACACTGCAATTATACACACTTATGTTGAATTATGTTTACTTTTCTCTTGAGGTTGTTTGAAAATCCCTCCTGTTAATCCTGAAGAGAAATGTAGAAACGCTACATATGAAAATGATACATGCAGCGGTAAGGCTTGAGATTATAAGATTTATAAAAAAAAGTTCACACCCAGCAAAGTTTGATTTCAGAATCAAAATAAATATAGAACAACGTTAACTGACTTATTTCTAGCATAGCTGTAGGCCTAATATTTGGGTTTCTTGAGTCTTTTAAACAGAATGCACTTGCTTGAGAAATTCTTTAATTCGTTTAGTGCTTGGAGTAGCATGATAAAATCATGCCAATAATATAACTGGACTATGTTAATAATAAATATGTGAACTGATGAACATTTATAAATGTTTCTTGGTTTATAAATAACCATCATATATTAGAGCATTTTAATCTACAAGGTTGTTTGTGTCATTGCGCAACTGGAATAATATGCGTCCATTGTTTATTTGTGTTGAAGGGAAAGAAGAAAGCGGATACATTCTGCATTTAAATGGGAGTGAATGGATGTGTGTGACCTGTGGTGATGAAAGATCAACCACCATTACACCACTGTCACACACCACTTCAACATCACATACTACAACTCACAATCCAACTACTAGTTCAACATCACAAACAACAACTCACGATCCAACTACTAGTTCAACATCACATACAACAACTCACGAGCCAACTACTAGTTCAACATCACATACAACAACTCACGATCCAACTACTAGTTCAACATCACATACAACAACTCAAAATCCAACTACCAGTTTCATGCCAAATATGACAACTCCCAAGCCAACTCTCCCACCAGCTGAGATGACTTTCAATCTACAAGCTGAGCAAAACAACACAGATAAAATTGATCCCCAAAAGGCAGCGTAAGTGTGCGGTTACCAGCAGATTTCAAATCTATAATTTAGTTACAAAATACCAAGTGATCCCATGCATTTTACAGAGAAAACTTGGACAAAGTGGAGTCGCTGGTGGAGCAGATGGAAAAAAGCAATAAAACCAATGCAGCGATTGTCATGGGCGATGTAATTGGCGTTCTTCAAAGACAACCCAAGAACACAGCAACCAAAGACATCAACATATGCTACTCTTCAAGTCAGAATATGATAAACGTAAGGCCTGAGAAGCATTAAAACGTGTCCCTCTAGGGAAGAATTAACATTTATCAATGCAATTTCTTCTTTTTGCAGGTTGTTGAGAGCAACCAGGCTGGTTTTCCCTGGTCTGTAAAGATTCCCAGTGAAGCCTTTGATAAATCACGACAGGAAAACAATGGAAGTGCATTTGTTGGAATTCTACGTTTCAAAAACATGGGAAATAAGGTCTGTACCAATGTTTCACTTTCACTTTGAACTGTTGGAGCTGATTCATCAAAAATGTTTGCATTTGGACAAATGTGTCTTGATTGTTTGTATTTGATTGCTCTATTCTGGTATGGTTTCTGATTTAGGAGGAAAGTAAAACTCACACTGTTTTAAACAGTGAGAGTTATGGAATAACAATGGGGGCCAATATTTCCAACCTCTTCGACAATATTGACATGATCATTAAAAAGAAAGAGAATCTGGTAATGAAGGTTTCGTTGCAAAACTTATATTATATTACACAGTTAAAGCAAAATCAATATAAACATGTTTTTAACAGAACGGAAATGTGTCCTGCGTTTCTTGGAATGGCAAAGGTAAATTAATTTATGTTCCTATCAGCAAACCCAGTTTATTTTCTATAATTAATTTGTATAATGAATTTCATTTGTTGCTCTCTTTTCATTGAAGGAGAACTTAAATGGAAGACGTTTGGCTGTGAGACAGAAATCGACAACACCTCCATAAAGTGCTCCTGCTCACATCTGACGTTCTTTGCAGTGCTGATGGTAAGAAGCTTCTCAGAGAAGAAGAACATCTTGGTTACATATGTAATGCTTGTTCCCTGAAGGAGGGAATGGAGACGTCACGTCGGTGATGACCAATGTATTGGGATCGCGCCAGAGAGACCAATCCACTTCGAGTGTAACTAAACAAGCCAATGGACATTGGCATGCGGATTTCGCATCTGGCTGCCACTCCCCGCAGTGCAAGTATAAAAGGCAGCAGGTGCACCGCATTAATTCTTGTTTTCGCTGAGGAGCCAAGCCAGAGTCCCGGCCGCTCAGTGGTGGTACAGCAACTGTGGAAACAGGACGTGACATCTCCATTCCCTCCTTCAGGGAACGAGGATTACTTACGTGACCAAGACGTTCCCTTTTAGTCGGTCACTCTCAAGGTCACGTCGGTGATGACAGACGAACTGGGATCCCTACCAACACGCCACAGGTGCTTCCCCCTCCAGTGCCCTGTGTAGGCCTCCTGATCCTTCCTATAAGGCAGATGACAGGACCGGGCTCTACACAGAGAAGGTAGACTACAGCTGTTTCTCGCAACCCAACAGTAGGACTTGGATAACACTGGGAAAACGTGCCCTATCCATTTGGAAAGGGCATGCTGCGGAGTCACCTCCTCCCAGAGGGGGTTAAGTGACATTTACTTACTGCACATGGAAGTCTCTGAGGTGGCTCAGACTGCATAATTTAGAGACGGCAGAACATGTTCTGCCAGGGGAAACACGGCCCTAGTAACTGTTCCGTGGACATACACATATGGGATCCCAACAGGGTCACTCATATGGGCACTAGCCTCACACCAGATTTCAAGACTTCATTGGCTGAAAGGCCTGGCGCCAAACGCTCCACCACGTCTGGGCACTGGAGTGCTGTAGGACTCGACAGGGTTTGCCCGGTCAGGGAACTCTCTGGAAAATTAGGCACTAAGGATGTGTATTCATAGGCCAAGGTGATGGCATCCACTATCCAGTGGGCCATCCTCTGCTTGGAGACAGCCTTTCTGCTGTCCTCCGTAACAGACAAAGACCTGTTCTGAGGTCCTAAAGCTCTGAGTTCTGTCCACAAACTGTCGCAGTCCAAAGCTAGGGCTGGGTATGCCTCCTCCAGAGGCAGCGCTTACAAGTTGCCTACCTGGTCCCTGAAGGGAGTGGTAGGAACCTTGGGCACGTAGCTGGGCTGGGGTCTCAGTGTTGCACTGGAATCAGCCGGCCCAAACTCAAGGCACGATTCGTCGACCGAAAATGCCTGCAGGTCCCCCACCCTCTTAATTGAGGCGAATGCAGTCAGGAGTAGGGTTTTCATAGAAAGAAACTTCAACTCGACTGACTGCAAAGGCTCGAAGGGGGCGGTTTGTCCCTACAAGAAGAACATGCATCATCCACGAACGCTTCCTCAGCGTGCTCTATGCCCAGACACGTGAGGCAGCGATCGTGACCGTCCTGAGGTGCCAGGAAACGACCACATCCAGAAACGCACGGGTGATCAGACAACTTTAAAAAGACACGATCACCCGTGTTGCTCTTTTAAAGATTGCTCAAATAGTGCTGAAGCACGCAGGGGAGCTGGTCACCGCACACTCCAAGTGTGGCTGTCTGCACGAAAGATTATCTTTTTTGTCCCGTGAGACCGCGACCACCGCTGCAACGGCGTAACGCCCGCACTCGTCTCTTGCAATCACTTGAAGAGGAGAGCAGTAGTGATGCACCACTGCTCGGCTCTGAAGCGAAAAGATGAATTAATGCAATGCACCTGCTGCCTTTTATACTCACGCTGCGGGGTGTGGCAGCCAGATGCGAAATCCGCATGCCAATGTCCACTGGCTCGTATAGTTACACTCAAAGTGTATTGGTCTCTCTGGTGAGATCCCAGTTCGTCGGTCATCACCGACATGACGACAAGAGTGACCGACTGAAAGGAAACTTATGCTTTCATAATTTATGTTTCATTTACACGTCTACATGCTAGTGAACTCAAAAGATCCTTGGTCAGGACTCCCATAATTTTTAATCTCAGAGTTTTTTTCTGGATACATCTAAAAAAATAAAGCCTCTTTCTATTGGGAAAACAAAAAGTCTAGTTCAAAAATATTTCTAGAAAGAGAGCATTCCTCCCACAATACTGCATCTGACTAGTGCATCAAGCACCTAATAAAAAATTATAATTATTTAAATACAGTAGCTACATTTACATGCACCCAAAAATGCGTTAGTAATTGGATTGATTTAATTAATTCGACTTAATTGATTAGGATTGAAAATCCTTCAAACACCTCAATCATCTGACTGAACACGATCTGAATGCACTGCGCATTGTGCTGAAGATTTATTTGAAATATATGTGATCCAAACAAAAATGTGAATTGTATTCCAGAGTTAACGGTTCATATAAGCAGAAAGTTCAGAATCTGAATTCAGACCGGATTCGATTGGACTGATGAAAATGAGTGCATGTATACACACATTTGCATAAGTCAGTCGATGCATCCAAAAGGTGTAGTTAGTTACCAGCTCTCACTTATGTTAACTAAAGCCATAAAATGAATGTGGAGCAGCTCAGATTAGTATACTGGCTGATAAATATTTGAGTTCATATTGAAGCTTTTGAAATCTGACTTTTAATTGCAGACTTTGATATCTTCAGCAGAGATTAAGACATTTCTGAGAGCTCCATTTGCTCTGCATTTAATCGCACTGCTATCTAGGAGAAACAGTTTAGACAGTCGAGACAGTCCTCAATCCTTTTGAAGTATAACATGACGACATTGTGGAAATGACAGCAAAAAATCATCCAGCTGATCTGTGCATTTTTGTGTCTTTTCTCCAATAATTCAGTCTCTGCCAAAAGCAAACGACACAGTGCCGGATCTGGAATCATTGACTTTAATCTCTTCTATCGGCTGCGGCATCTCCATGTTTTTTATGGCCATCGCTTTATTCATGCATTTCCTGCTACGGTAGAGTATCTTAAAGTTTATCATTCAGTTAGTGCTGTTTAGTAATTAATAATCATTATTGCTACACTAACAAACAATTTTCACTAAGAAATTGCTGGTACATTTACAAAGAAAGAAACAGCAACACATTGAATTAAACTTGAATTTTTGAAGACTGAAATAGTATTTTCATGTAAAACATTATCCAAGTGATGAGATCAAACCTCTAATGTATTAAAGTTCAGGTTACAAAAGCAGTTTTTTGTATGTTTTAATAGGAAAGCCAAATCAAATCAGGCCACGAAGATCTTGATGAACATGTTTGTGGCTTTGTGTCTACTGAATGCCTCATTTTTGTCAAACGAGAGCGTCGCTAACACACAAGACAACACTGCGTGCGTCTTCATAGCGCTGCTCCTGCATTACTCCTTGCTGGCCTCATTCACCTGGTTCTTCATTCAAGCTCTTCATATGTACTTATGGCTCATCAGACAGAATGTCACCATCACAAACTACGTGAGGAAGATCACTGTGTTGGGCTGGGGTGAGTCTGAGCAACAAAACATCTATTAAGAAAATAAAACAGTTGTGAGGTCTAGGTAGAGACGTTTGTCTTGAGTGTTTAAAATAG